CTGGACACAGGAAGTATCTTACAGAGTAGACAAATCAATAGTCTGCAGAACATATTCTGAGGGTGAGATCACTGACTTAGTGATGATCAGTAAATATGCAAATGGCCTTCCAGAACTTTGTGGAACTCAGGTAAGGAACTAACAGGTAACTCAGATCTGCAGCATTGCCTTTGGAACAAAAGCCCTGGAGTAAAGCAGGACAACTTGTCTTTTTTTGCCCTTCTATGGGAGGATAAGGATGATGGGGAGTTTTTTTTCCTTAATTTCTGTTTTAAGCAGAAGGAGTTTAAAATGCATTCTCCACAGAAACTGACAGCTGGAAAGCAGACCTAGAATTCCATTTTCAGCAATAAAGCTAGAAGCAAAAGCTGCCCTAGCAAGGCTGCCAGCAGAAGGTCGCAGCAGCAAGAGATGGGTCAGGCAATCAAGAATGAAAACAAGTTCCTCCACCCGTGATGCACAAAAGGCAGAGAAGGAGGACAGCAGTTTAATGAAACCAGAATCAAAACAGTTCTTTTGCGAGAACAATCCCATGGGCTTTTCATGGTAATCTGTAGTCCAAAATAGACATAAAATTATTCACAACTCCTCAAATACTGAGTATTGATAATGATAAGTTAAGGAGACTTGGGGCATTTAGGGTGTGCAAGTGCCTCTTAGTTCTGCTGAAGGGAGATGGGTGCAGAGAACAAAGTAGTAATTTCCCTCCCCATAAAACATAGAAATAAATGCAGAGACCCAACTTTTCTGGAGAGAGGTGCACAGAGATTGAGCAGCCACCTCAAATGTCCAAACACTCTGCTCAGCAACTTCTAGGAAAACTCTGTTTCTCTACTTATGACCTTTAAAAGGAATAATCTCGACGGAACCAGTGACAGCATTGTTTTTGATGCACTCCACAACCCTCTGTCACAGAGCTCAGCACTGAACTGTGCCAACAGGGCAGAGGGGATGTGGGCCCAGCTCATTTCAGTCTCTGGATCAAGGAGTGTCTCTGGTTTGTTACCCTGTGCATTATCTGGAGTTCTGGGAGGTACAAACACAAACCAGACACCATAGCCTATAGCAGAAGTGATCTTTCAAAGAGCTGTGGAGAACTAATCAAATCTTAACTGGAAAGTAATCAAGATTTTAATACAGCTACATGTGAGAAACAGTGTACCCCTTCTTTGCACCAGCACCACATGGAAAATCTTCCACTGCCAGGAGTATGAGATAACAGGAGCACAGCAATTTCTGGAGAGTAAAAATATCTTAACTGCTATGTACAGAAATCATCTTGTAAGGAAGGATTTTCAGGTACCACCCCTTTCAAACCCAGAGATGGGGATGAATGTCCAGGCCTGAGGAAGAGCAGGATGGTCATTTGTGGCCATCAGAACATGGGATATTGCTAAAAATCCAGTTTTTGTTTCCCCTTTTGGACACAATTTTCAGCTTGGAAAGAAGTGGGAAGAGTTGCATGTTGGAACTTGCTTCTCCCAGCAGAAGATCTCAAAATGTGGGAAAATGAGCTCTTAACTAGAGAGGTGAAGAAATCTCCTCAGGACATCATGAAGAAACACAAACCATTCTACACTGAAGACTGAATTTTGCCTCAGATCATCCATGTACATGATTTTTCACAAGACTTCAAAGTGTGCAGAAGTTTTCCTCCAGGAAAAAGTAAAGTAACATGTACCTGGAAAAAAATCACGGGGATTTTTCTGCTTCAAATGAAGGTACTCCTACTGAAATGCCTGCAGTATTAACAGGCTGGGTGAGCAAGCAACAGTTTTCTTTCCTGAGTCACCTGAAACAATTTCCAATTCTACATGATATATCTTAAAACTTCCAGGCTAGGAGCTATCTCCCTGATCCAGCACATCTACATTCATGACATGCATTTTTTCAAGCCTAAAAAAAATGATAAAAATGTACCTAATCAGTTCATAACCCTGTTCACTCAGAAGGAAACATATCCAGTGGCAAATCTTGACAGGAAATAAACATAAAATCCATTTTAAATACGGGGGAACTACAAATACTTAAACTCAGGATGAGTATGGAAAATTTTCTCTATAAAGCCAGAATTGGGGTTTACTTTTCTATTTAGTGGATTTTTAGTAAGATGAGCATTGTAGTGCTGCAAGCCACAACACACTATCTGAGGGGAGAGAGAAATCAAACGGCATTGACCTCAGAGTTGCATTTCAGATAATGTAAAGCTTATAAGTAAACTTGAAGAAACTCAGTTTTTCTGCACATTCATTTCATGAGTCAACCTGTGTGTTCCTGCCTGACTCGCAGCTATGTCGAGTGAGGCAGCAATATTTCCAAATCATTAAATCATCTGCAAGTGCTTTCCTCCTCCATCAAGCATTCCTAAGCCTTTCTCTCTCCACAAAAGCAAAGACAAGATTATTTCCTCTCCAAACACAGCCCACTCAGCTACAGCTGCCATGTCTGCAGCAGCCAGACCACGCACCCCTTCAGCAGGAACGGTTTTTCTTAGGTCAAGTGGAACACATGCCTAATAAAGAATTCTGAATTGCTCGCATGAATTAATAAACAAGCCTTCTGTGCTGTTTTGTACGTACAATAACAGTTTTTAGATACGACAGCACAGCTACAAATGCTGTACTACTTGACCTGTGATGTAGCAGCAGAGTTTTGATTTAGCAGCCCCGGCAGGCTCGGCAGGAGGAAGAACCCAGCAGCAGCTTCTGATGGTTCCCACTGATGGTGGGATTTTGACCTCTCCACAGTCAATGGCAAGACACTGTGTGGATCAGGATTTCACTCACTGCATGTTCATCTTCCTCTGCTGTGAGATCTGCTTGGCTATATCCTAATACCACTTTCTTGTTTTTTGACATGAGCTTACCTTAAAATGCTACCTTAAAATACCAGACACATAAACCATAATGAAGACTGTCCTAAGCAAAACCTAAGGGAAACCTAAGTGATAACAAGGAGCATTGTGAGTCTTGTGAGGGATTAAATGAATTTATCCCAACTGTGACAAAAACAATGCAGAGTTTTTCCTGCATTAGGAAGGAAACACTAGGCAAATTAATTTCTGAAGTAAATCAAACTGTTTCTAAAATAAATGTTCATCCTGTCTTGATGTGCAAATAGAATCATACCATGATTTTATCTTTTCTTCATCAAGCATGACTTTATACAGTACGTTAAATATTCAATCACAGAATTGTAGGACACACTGAACTTGCAGTTCCTCACTTTTCTTGAATTATGACAATACACATCATAAATGAGCAGCAAGGCCATGTAATATTCCAAGGCCTGTAGAAACGCTAATGGAACATGCTAAAGGAGGTTTCTAACTACTTTGATTCACCTACCCAAATTCCTAGTATACCTCTAAATTTAGACTCAATAGTGGACTTACTGATCAGTTAAACTCTCCTGAGCTGAAACGTTTGTGGACTCCTTTTAGACTCCAAATACTTTTTCCCTGAAAATTTCCTCTTGCTGATTGTTCTGTTTCACAATTTTGTTTCATAACAATATTTACATTTTTTGAATTTTTGGCGTTTGTTACATACACTTAATTTTGAGAACACAATGTCCTCCACTGAAGTCAACTGTTGTGCTTTGGATCTGCCCAGATTTAAATCTCTAATGTCATTCCTCACAGTCTTACACTATTCCTGTAAAACAACTGCTCCTTCAGTGAGGAACTAAACCTTCCTCTAATAACAAGGAAACAAAATACTAAGTAGCTAATACTAACAGCTAAGGTCTTTTCTTTTTCCAACAACTTTTTATTTACAACAGATTAGGACAAAATGACCACAAGTATTGTGCTTGCAAGAGATACCTAATTTTTAGTTTGAGGAATGTACCTTGCTAAATTGGCTGACCTTAACAACTCTGTGGGTACAAGATGTCCTTAAAACTTTGTTTCTCTCTCTGATAATTATTTCTTTCATTAATTAAGTTTAGTGGTCAGCATAGCCTGGATATGACTGTGCAACATTGTCCAAGCTGCTCAACCAGTCACCCTTACAATTTAATCACCACTACAGGGTGTTAAAGAGACATTGGTGAAAGATGTTGGACATCTCTGATTGTGCTGATGATACATTCAGAGTCTAAGATGTTGTTTACTGCAAATAAACAATATGGCAAGATCACCATTAGCTCACACACTGTAGGATGCCAAGCCATTACCAGATTTTGACAACAGAAAATGCAAAATGGTTACTTTGCTGAATCATTTCTGTTGTTCCCAAACTGTGTTTATAAGACACTGGGATAGAACAGTTTAATATCAGTTTGTCCGTAGAAATATTTTTTGGCAGTAACTAGACACTATTTGTGAGACAGACCTGGAAAAGACTCAAGGAAAGAGGTTTCACAGTTGTATTCTGAGAACTCCTCTCACTCAAGACTCCCCTGTCGTGTTTTGAATGAAGTCCCAAAGGCAGCAAAACTGTCATGAAACTTCTACCCTTTATTCCTCCTGTTGTGTTTGACCAGCTGATTTTACATTTAACTTATTCTATGTTGCTTGACTGTTTATTAGGGTGAAAAATCTCCAGGCTATTTCAGGATACAAAAACATATGAACCACCCCGGTTTCAGCCAGGGTGGTGCTGACAGAAGCCAGAGATCAATTCCATCTACAGAACAGTCTTTTCTTTAGCACTGACAGAGCACAGATATTTGGGCAGGTCACATCCATGTTTCCATCTGTCCTGTGCCTTTGTGACCAGCCTCGTGTGTCCATGGCATGAGGGACAGAAGGACACTCTTTATTCTGCATTAACACACGGGACAGCACCTTGATCTCTGAGACAGCTTCCAGGAGTCACCCATATCGTGCTGGCAATAAAGAATTGGGAACTCCTACTTCTAAGGTATCCCTAGGAAACTGAGAGTTACATATAAACAACACCTGTGTTTTTGAGCCACTGCAGTGCAAAATACTTCTCTATCACATTTACACATGCACAGTTAATGAAGCCATGGTAAAGACAGACACAACTTACATAGTCATGAAAGGCTTTTGCTTCACTTGAGTGTTCACATGTTTCTCGTCTTTCTGGAGCTGCACAGTAGAGATCCCAGAACACACTGCAAGGGAGAGGTTACAGGGATGGTGAGAGTGTCACTGTCATCTCATGAGCATTTTATGGCATACACACACCCCACATGGATGTTCCTATACAGAAACGTCACTGTCTCTCCAAAGAATGAGAACACTCCCCTCTAAGGAAGAATTTAGATTTGTAAATCATCTGTGAGGAGCAAGCCCTGCCATCTGATCTCTGAGGCAAGCAGTGCTGCACTCCTTTAACACCACTGCACCACACACCAAGAATCTGGTGTAATATATATGAATACAAAGTGTATTACTGTGCATTTAATCTTATCCCTCCAGCAACTGCTCAAACAACTTCCACAAAGCTTGGGAAGGAATGAATTCGTAATAATATGGAAAGGAAAGAAAACTGGGAATCCTTCCATGGTCAAGGTTCCTGGAGCCACAGAACAATTTGGATTAGAAGGATTTTAGAGCCCACCCAGTCTCCAACAACTTCCACTATCCCAGGTTACCCTAAGCCCCATCCAGCCTGGCCTTGGGCACTTCCAGGGATGGGGCAGCCACAGCTTCTGTGGACAAATGTCCAGTGCTGTGCTTAAACCAAAGCTCCCTGAGGATCTGATGCCTGGGCAAGCACAAAAAATGCATGGGCATCTTCTTAGGTCATTAAGAATAAAAGGAAGGCTATCATGGCACATAATCCCATTGGTCTTCCCCACAAACTCCTTCAACTATACTTATATACCAATCAGTTCTACCACAAAGTTTCTGGAATGAAACTGGGTCTGTGCTAGAATGACTTAATAATATATTTGAATAATAAAATTTGTTGGAGTTTCATAGCGGTTTTTTACTGGTTTAGACTTAATCCTCTATAACTTAACCCAGCACCATAATAGGGATTTATGGACAATTTGAGCACTCTGCTGCAGACAATCAAAATTAAGGATAATGCAGACATTAGGGATAAAAGGGACATGTTCTTGCCAGGCTTCCATCACACAGCAAGAGGTGTGGAAGAATGGCCAAAGAAGGATACCCCACTTCCCATGCAGCTGTGCAAATCACTTGGGTTCAAATGGGACCATTTCCAAACCTGTGAATTCTTGTACTCCTGACAGATGGGCATATTCTCTGCACTTCTGCATTTCTTCAAACACAGGCTTTTGGATAGACTAAAGTAATGAATAAATACCATGGCTACACAGCACTGCCTATGAGCACTCTTCTCCCCTCGGGAATTCTACACACACAGCTGTGGACTGCAGACTGAGCAAGCTCACATCTACACAGTCTCTGTATTTACTGTGTTTTCTTTCCAAATGCAACCATTTATGATATGTAGAATGACCCCTTAGCTGCAAAATGTGCTGGAAGGTGGTGAAGAAGGAAAGCCAGGCCACCTCCTTTCTTATCAAAGCTCTATGCAGTATTTCTTTTTTTCTCTATCCAATATCCAGTATCTTTTTCTGTTATTTTCTTTTCCATATCTAATTTTCTGTTATTTTATTACTTAACAAGAGAATGCTTCTTAATCCTGATCCTCTTTTTTTTTTTTTTTACTGTGTTCACCTGAATTTCTTGCCTCCAGCAGCTGGAACTGGATATCAATATATTCTAGGAAAATCAGAGGAGAAGAAAACTGGTACTTACCACCACCAGGAATGCAAGAATCCTGGGGGCTCCCCCAGTGTGATGTTTTTTTCCCATCTTATCTAAAATGAAATGATAAAAACAGAGGTGTACATTGTGATCATTGCGCTGGCATTTGATCATTGTGACTAAAAAACACTACATAATTCAGATAGAAAAAGGATGAGGAAGAGAAGATTCCACATTATGAGACACTTTATGGTCATCAATTTGGATGCCCTATTTACTTACTTTTCTCTATTTATTGATATAGCTGATCCTTTAAATTAGCTCCTCTTTTGCTAGGGGAGCATAGTTTAGAATTTTATTCTTTGGGTTTTTTTTAAATTCTGAGTATATTGTGTACTACTTTAAGGTCCAAAATGCATGATTAAAGAAGTGATTACGAAGTACCGTTGAAAGCTGAGATCTTTTCGCATTTGCACAGGAGCGATGCTGTGGATTCAGCAGGTGGCACTCTTCCCCCCGCAGCCAGGGCCAGCAGTGTTTTGCAATCCTCTAGGAGTGCCTCAGCCACAGGTAATGTGGCCAAAGTGAGGCAGCGCCACTGCCACAAGCCAGCTCTCCCACCAGCCAGGGAACATGCACAGCTACTCCGGCTCGCTCTCCTCAACACCTCCGCTGCCTGGGACTTCCTTCCCACCAAGGAAACTGGGTCTGCTTGGGGCTCTTTTCAAAGGAAATGCAGTTTAAGAACTCTCAGCTCCTGAATTCAAACTTTTGTGGTTGATCAGGGAACCCATCAGACAACACCAATCGCAGCAACAGCATCTGTTTCTCTGCAAAACTTCCCAAATGTTGTACCCTAACTATAATCACACAACCACCTTTTCAATGCCAGTCAGTAGCTTGTCCTTAACTCCAAAATTTAATAGTTTGGGCTATCACAAAGCCCACACAACACTGTCCAGAAGAACGTCTCATGTTAGAACTTGGTGGATCTTTGGTGCACACTTTGCATTGTGTGCACTGCAAACTCCTCTAGTTACAATGACACACAGCATAATTTCCTGTCCAACTCTCTTAAGAAGGAGTTGTTAACAGCACAAACCACTTTCTTCTCTATAGATAGAAGCAATGGCAGACAAGAAGAAGGTTATTTTAATTACATGCTTAAACAGCCTTAATATGAAAGAAATTTAAAGTGACAGATCTGTATACAAATATGTAAAAATACATAAAAGCATACTATTAAAGGTGGATATAGTGTTCATACTGCCAGGGTCCTTCCTAAAGCTGGCATTTTTTAAAGAGACTTAAGATTCTCAACTTGCACTTGATTTCCACATCAGTTCTTAGGAAATTCAAACCCATGCAAGTTTTGTCAATACAGAATATGTAGCTCATATGCCTAAAATGTTGCTTGGACTTACATGAAAATCCATATAGAAAACCTCAAACCTAATGCAAATTTGACATATTATATGAACACAACTCTTCAAAAATAATTATGCTATTTTAAATTGTCTATAAAAGATAACATTGAGTCACTATCACTTGAGTTGGTAAAGCTGGCAGAATGAAAACCAACATCCCTCACAGAGTAGCTAATACACAAAAAACATATTTCACAAAGATCCTGAAGTGCTTAAGTGCCTAAAGTTCCTTAAGTGCTGGCAGGAAAAAGTGATGAACATTTGGAAGCCAAAGCCACTACAAAGGTATTACACACTCTTCAAATACACTTCTCTGAGGCACAGCTGCTCCTCATGCACCCTGGGAATGTCTTGGAAAGACTTGTATTAATAATCAGGAACACACGGTACCTCTGAGAAGGTTCAAAATCACATAACGAAGAGATGCATTGTACAGCCAGAATGAAAAAGGGGTTCCTGAAGCAGAAATTTCATTCGCTTAGCAGTAAAAATTATGTCTGTGAAGAACACCCACATTATGTTTAAGCAGTGATTGTTTTCTTCAAAGCAGGGCCTGGTGAGGAAAATACCCAATTCAGGTCTTTTGAGGGTCCTGGGACATATGTCATCTTGAGAAACTGACTGGGAGGAGAAGACTGAAGGGAATGTGGAAGTTTGGGACTCTTTTAAAGGATTTTTGTTTTGTTTTGTTTTAAATATCCGTACTTGTGTCTAACATAGCAGATGCAGCCTGTCTGATCAATGGGACTTATGAAGAATTATTATTTATTAAAAAAAAAAAAAACAAAAAAAAACAAAAGAAAAAAAAAAAGAAAAAAAAAAGAAAAAAAAAAACCACTTCATTGTCAAGTGTGATTGAGCTCAAAGCCAGAGAATGATTAACTGGGAAATGGCCACCAACCAGGTCCAGGCCAGGCTAATGGCATTATGCAAGGCTGGAATCTGATTTCCAGGATAGAAAATACGTGGGATAAGAATCAAGTCTTCAAGAGAAGCATACAAAAGTCAAACTAGACACAAAAGCATGACAAAAACACAGGGATGCTCAGGACAACCATCCCTAAGTTACAGAGTATCACAGTGGATTCATGGATATCCAACTTCTATTTTCCTTTAATATGGTTCCATTCCTCTGAGTCACAGTCCCTGGCAGATCTGTGAGAGAGGGCTCTTAACCTTTATCCACCACTGGCTGCCCTACAGCTCAGCCAATCTGCGTGTGCTCTTCTTTTAAGCCCCAAGACTCAGCTTTAATCTCAACTGTTTAACTTAAAAATGAAACCCACCCAAACTGAGAGAGCATCCAGCCCAGCAGCCACAGAACCATTCACAAGAACTGCCAGCACATTTACCCACCTGCACTGCTAATCAGTGAGGGAAATAAACTCACAGCTCGTACCTCATACCCACTCTGGGCACTACTAATTGTCCCTGATCTGTGTTTACCACCTCTTGATGAGTACAAGTCTTACTTTTAAAGATTTGATATATCCTTATGTTTCAGTGTTCAGACCTGAGAACTTCTCTGTAACTCAAGACTGAATTAGTTCTGAAAGCTGAGTTTCCAGACACTGTATTTAATGTTTTCAGGAAATCCAGATGTCATACCAGCTATGCTTCTGCCAACAGTTCATTTTGCAAAAACATCATAAAAACAAAGTGAGCAAAATTTACCTTGTGCAATGCATTATTTACAAATGACAGCTGTTTTGGAAAAGCCAAGATGATACTCTACATTATTTTCTCTTATTTTTCCAGTGTTTTACCACAGAGATAAAACAATTGTCAAAAACATGCTTTATTATAAATGTAAACCGATCCTACTACAATTTTACCCTTTTTCCTTATCTGTGCTTTGTCAGTTTTGTGTGAACATCACAAACAACTCTCTGGATTTTCATTTTCCCCTCTTCCATCTCCAAAATGTCATCATCAGCATAATAATTTAATTAAATTTTTGGAGGAGGATCAGTTAAAGCAGAAAATGTTCCTAGGACAATATCTTGCCTATTTTTTCCCAACTTCTGCTCACTATTCCTATTACTACTACTACTACTACTACGCTATTGTCATTATTATCAATTATTGATAGTGTTGTTGTTGTAATTATCTTGTATGTTCTTGTCAAAGATTAAAAACAATAATAAACCCAGAAGACTTCAATGTGTTCAGCATACATTTTTATCCTAGGGCAAAAGTAAAATGCTGATGAGACACAATTTACTTCAACCTTCACAAGATGCATACAAAGTCTTTGAAAAGACTCTTAAAAAATCCCAAAACTACTGTGTAAAGGTAAAAATTCCATTAGCAGTTGAAAGTGTTTAAAAAAGCAGGACCTAAGTGGTTGTGGCCGTCATTGATTCAACAGATGAAAAGAAGTGAAGTGGTTAAAAGCATGGTGAGAGCACAGAGAGATCAGCAGTGCTTCAGAGAAGGAGAACTGATAGTGTATGACAGTGGGATGTAAAATACATTTAGAAGGGCCCATCATTCACAATTGGAGATATCAATGGTAAGTTAAAAGGTCATCAAAACTGAGTACCACTGAAGTGTTCTCCAGCATGCCCACTTATTAGAGAAAATAGATTAATCTTCCCCAGTGTAGAATGGGGATTACAAACCACAGCAAAAACAGTCACAAAAGATCATGTAAAATGACATGGCAAACTGTGCTCTGGAGGATAAGGAACAGCAGATTGAAGCAAACTGATACCCAAGGTTTTCACTGCTCTTATTCTAGACCAAATCATATTTATTTCACTTGCAAGCCCTCAGAAGTCATGTAAAAAACTCACCTCTGATAAAAATGTCTGAGCTGATTTCTGTGCTCCTACATGGAGCAGATATTCATATACGTACAGTGCTAATCTGAAAAATAAAGAGAAAGGACAATATTTAGAATTGTGCATTTGTTTGCTCCTCTTCTTCAGAAATAAAGGATTATCACAAGTTTGAGATATGCCCCACTGCCTTCCACAAACCACAAAATAATGAAGTGCCAAATCTATTACCTCTACGAGAATTTTTCAACTAGACATGCAGGTCAATCTGACCAGAGGTGTTTAAATAGTCATTAATTAAAACGTTATTAAGCCCCCAAATTACTTAATGTCAACATTTTTAATATTTGGACAAGTGCCCAGTGAGCTAACAAGTGACCCAGTGCTGCTCTGAGTGAGCATGCTTAGTGTAAATACAATATATTCATACAGCGTCACTGATTGCTTTTCCAGGTCAGCTTTCTTAGCATGTGGAATGCGTCAAGCTGTTAGCACTCCTGAAAAATAGCCCTGTGGTTTTTTCAAAAAACATGGAAACTTCAGGCTGCATCAGGAGAAGCAATGGCAGCCTTGAGGCACAGCATGGCCAAACAACCACAGCTCTGCAGCAAACGGAAAACAGATCCTGAAATCCATCCAGACCTGGGCTCTGATGGCAGCAGAGCTACAAATGACTGCCACAGCTCCAGCTGACTCCCCAGAGCCTCCTGTTTGTCTGTCTGCAAGCCTCCAGGCTGTCCAGGAGGAGGAGGAGGAGGAGGAGGAGGAGGAGGAGGAGGAGGAGGAGGAAGGGGAGCAGGAGGAGAATGTCTTTTATATTTGCTACCTGCACTGTTTCCCAGAAGTTAAATGTATTTGAATGCATGTAGTAATACACAGCAATTCTTATTTTAAAATTTCTCCCTAATAATTTTCAAAAACTTGTAGACAGCTACACAAAGAAGAGACGGAGAGGACTTGTCTTCCTCTTCAAAACCCAATGCCATGTTCTCTGTGATCACTGTCATCAAGGCTCTGCTGGAGCAGTAATTATTGCAGTGACCTATCAAGTGAGAAATTTTAATATCTCAGAGATCTTCCCCAAAAATGGTTTTCACTAGTTGTTTGTATTTTGTATATGCAATACGTACACGTATTACTTTACTCTCTGTCCAACTTCAAAAGCAAAGATATACTTTTTTCTCAAATTAAATATATATAATTCAAACATGTGACTAGTTTCAGTTTGAACTCTCTAAGTACTGTGGGGAGAGAGGATTTCTTAAGAGTTGACTGAATTCTTCCCAGTTCAACTTCCATGCAAATTTTAAGCAATAAATGTTGTAGACTAAATCTAAGACAGATGTAAGAGACAGAGAAGAAACGCTTTTCTGCCACAGCCCATACATCCTGAATACGCAGTTATGCTTTAAAGCACCTCATCTGTCTTATGAGAGTCCCTTTTTGTTGTGATCCAAACACGAAGCCTGCAGCCCCGATGAAAGGGTTTGTGTGATCACATCCTTCCTGCCCGCCAAGGAAGGCGGAGCAGCGCAAACCCCGGGTACAGCACCCCCGCGGCTCTGCCATGGACCCAAGGCTTTGGCACACGGGGCACCTTGATGCCCACACTGACAGCACAAGGCTTTAATGCCCAGAGAGGTTTGTGCCTCCTCTCAGGACTCTGGGGTGCCTCCAGAGAGCTCCTGCAAAGCCCAACATCCCTGCCTGTCCCCACTGTCCCCACTCCAAAAACACAAGGTATTTCAACATTGCAACAACAAGACAACCCTGAAACTTTTGACCTAAACACACAGAATGTGCTAATTAAGCACAATGCTAACTCCTAACCTCTTCAGCTCTGTGTAAGTGCTGTTACCTCTTGTACTAAACCAGCAGCGCAATGAAATGGTGTTTAATGAGTGCGTAGAGGGCAAATGTGGCAGATTTCAGTAGAAGGCTTTAGGCTTCCGAGCTGATCCAGCTGTGGCAAATCCCAGAGTGCCAAGGATTGTGCCAGGAGAGGTGGGACCACAGATGGGGCACAGAGCACAGCACAGAATAACCCCATGGGGTCTGACTAGGTCTGTATGGCTGCCCCAGCCCTGCTTCCTGTGCTCTCAGGAAGCCTTTACAGAATGTAACTATGTTATGGGTTCACTCCGAAATAAATGCATTCACCGCAGAGATCAAAAGAGGTTTCCCTGTGTTACAAGGACGGATCAATGGGAAACTGATATGCTGGGGAAAGACAGAGGGACGCCCAAAAAGGTGCAACATTGTGTAAGAAGGAAGAATACCAAAATTACAAACGGTAACGACAGGCGAGGAACAGAAAAGACAAAAACCAAGCTACAGTTCAAGTGTGTGCAATGAACAAATTAATGAACTATTTCACATCCTGTCACAAGACTAAGAAAGTATTAGTGAGGTGGTCTTCAACACCAAAAGACTTGAGTTTGAAGTGACGTTTTAAAAAAAGACAGTTTTTACTCATTAAACTGGTGTGAGAAACCGTGCGGAAGCAGCAAGCAGACATATGTCGAATTTTCACATTTGCATACTTGTTGACATCCCATGAGTAATGTGAGGAAAAAATATTTCCAATCAATTTATGACAATGCTGCAGTAATTTCTGTTAAAGACATGACACAGGCCAGAGCTCCCCCCTCCCTGCCAAGACAATTAGAGCACACATTCATCCGTACCCTGATGATGCATCCACTCCATTAACAAACAAAAAAGGTTACTGTCTGACTCACGTTGCTAACCTGGTGCACTTTGCCTGAAGTTCCTGCTCTAATTGGACAAGGCATTCCTACATCCCACAACCAGCTACTGGATTCCACAGAAAAGAACCATTTAAGTGGTTCAAGTCAAGCATTTATCAGAATACTACCAGGAAATAAACAGTAATTCCTCTAACTGTGCCGTGGAAATTGCATTCCTATATTTTAAAGATGGGGAGATGCAATTAGCTTAATGAGAACTTACAACTCAAGCCTTGCAGCGCTGTTTCCATTGATGGAAACATGGAGAACTCACCCAATTCCAAACCAAAAGACTAAGACTGCACATCACACAAGTGTTCCCACCACTTCCTCCGTCACCAAGAGCCTTTATGCTGCTAACATCTGATGCTGGATGTAAAAAAATAAAGTATCTATAATGGGAATGTTCCAGATCTGAGCATCACCAAGATATATCTATAGCATTTTTAGATTGTTAAGACATAATTTTTTGAAAACTCTTCCTGTATGGAGAGTTTAGCATATGGCACATCATCCATTTAACTTTTGGTGGGTTCAAAACAGTAATTAAAGAACTAGAAAATCAATATCCATACATAATTGTAAGTCTGAGTGAAGCAGCTGAGCAAGAATGAAAAGCAACTTCATAGAAGAGATCTTAAATGTTACTCTTCATGTTTCAGAAGACCTCATGCATTCCCAAATTACTACTCTGCTCAGAGAAGTAGCTTTTCTGTTGTTTTCAAGAATGTTTATAGACTTCAGTTCAAATCCATATTTCATTTCAAATCCTAGGAATCTCACATTCAAATTACAAATCCCATTCTCTAAAACAAGAGCAAGTACCACTGAATCTTAGCATGCATTTGAAGCGGGGTTTTTCTGAACAAATTTTCTTGACTCCACTAATTCAGTACTTTAAAACCTGCTCCAAGGCTCCTGAAGGCAAGCTGGTTTTACCAAATTTCAACAAACACTGGTAATCAATCCTTTTAAGGAAGTTTATTTAATATACCAAACCACACTTTCTGGCCTATTTGGTCATACTGACCATAATTTTTTGCTCCTTCTCTCTCCCTGTTTTTAGCATATTTATATGGAAATATAATTTGTTCATAAGTATTAATTTTTAATATATTTGTGATATAGATATATGTGTATGTATATATCTATTTATTTTTATGTATGTATGCATGTATGTATGTATGTATGTATGCATGTATGTATGTATGTATGTATGTATGATAGATAGATAGATAGATAGATAGATAGATAGATAGATAGATAGAATGAATGTTTTTCTACTCATCTCACCTGAGATTTAGGATGTCCCAAAAACTGGCCTCCTGAAGTGAGGCCACCCTCCCCTTGGTTACTGCTCTGATAGCACAATAAACACCAGCAGGGTTTTTCAGTTCACCCACATACCTGCAGCTCACTTTTTTTTGGGTATGTATGTCCTCATTTCACACACTTTTGCTGCTTGAGCTCCTGCAGACTTCAAACACTGGCACAGCCATTTCCAACCACACGTTAAGTTGAGCACCAGTGTGTAAGTACACATTGAATAGATATTTGGTATGCGCTGATCTTTCGGGAAAGATCAGAGATGTGTGCCGTGGTAGTGTCTGCAGTCTCCCCCACAAGCACTTAATTGCATGGTTTTACATATTTTCATCAGCTAAGGATGCCTTGGTTTGTGCTGTCACACTGCAGCCTTCCCCACACTGCTTTTACCTGACTCTGGCTGAATTTCATATTCGTTTTTTGTCTCAGTTCTCAGCTCGCAGAAATTACTACAGATCCAGACTACTGAAGAATCAAAAAACTCTTCTGAAGGCTCCAACCTCACTGGGACAATTTCCATCAATTCCCAAATACTTTATCAAAAGGCAAGTTTTTCTGATGACCTCCAGAATTTCAAATTTTAAAACTGTCATTTTTTCACCTATGTTTGGCATATATATTCCTCAAGATTTCCCGTAGTTTCACAGGCTTCCTGGTCCACGGTTAGGGAAAAAAAGTAATTCATTTTATGAAAACATATTGATTTTTAAAGTCTCTAAGTAGTTTCTTTGGCTTAACCCATATAAACTACACAACTTACCATAATTATAAAATATTCCAAATGGCAGTTAAAAAATAGCTACCTGACAAAACACATTTTAAAGTGTAAGCTGAGACTTTAATAAAAATACTTGAGGTTCCACCTCTTCCTGATAGTAAAGGTGGTAACCTTGGTCTTCCCTGCTGCTTTCAATGGGATAGTAATGGGTTTTTACATGGTATTTTGTCCGTGGTATAAAATTTCCTGTATTTAATGAGTTTAATGCCATGACCTGGCAGTAAGCAAAGGCAG